TGGAACTGGCTGGTCACTCACTTCAATTCCATGCATTATAGCAGAATAATAAGAGCATGGGTTTTGCATACTAAATCAGTTTTCTACTAGCTCTATGGACTTGAGCAGGCTACCTCACACTTTTGTTTTCCCACTTATAAAACAGGGTTCCTGGTGGTTCTTAATGCTATCATTACAGTGAATTAAGTGGAATAATTCACAGAAAGGTTTAAATTACCTACCCCTGGTGGATGTTAGCTGTTGCTGTTATAGTATCATTTCATTCATTCATTCATCCAACACTGGATGGAATCGTGATAACATTTATTTTTAGATCTTATGATGCAAATAACTTCAGTCTTGTTTTCCATTAGAGGCTCTGGCACAGTCAGTTTGCTGGTGGATGACAGATACAGAGTTCAAACTCAGGAACCCTAAGCTTTGCTTTCCTGTCTCTTTTTGCTCCTTACTTGTTTGAGTTTGCTTGGGCTGCCATAACAAAATAGCACAAAGTGGGGTGGCTTAAACAACATTTACTCTCACAGTTCTTGAGCCTAGACGATTTGAGATAAAGGTGTTAGCAGGGTCCACAAACTCTTTCCTTGTTTAGCTCTTTGGGTTTCTTTGTTGTGTCCTGATCTCTGATCTATCAATCAGATTGGATTCAGGCCCATGCTAACAATCTCACTTCAACTTAACCAACTTTTTTTTCTTTTGAGACAGGGTCTCACTATGTAGCTGGGGCTGTCTTCAAACTTACCTGGTATTAGTAACTTTTTTGAAGGCTGTATTCTGAGGTATTGGGAGGTAGGACTTCAAACTATGAATTTTAGAGGAACTCAATTCAGCCTATGACATTGTGAATCTGATGTTTAAGATTCAGAGTAGACTCCATTCAGAACCATAATTTAACTAATATCCAACTTTCCTGGATTCTACTAGTTCTAAGTACTTTTTCATTTTTATGCTTCTGACTTACATATAAGTTTCTTATTTTGAATTCCATTTTTGATCCTCCATATATGTTCTTAGAAATTAGCTTTTCACCCATCTTAAACTTAGAGGATTTTCAAGGGCCCAGTTCCTATAATCATTTCTCTTCTCTGTGTCTTCAACTAAAAGACTATTGCCATTTTCTGTGGCTGTTAGTTCAGGTCTACTGCAGAGAAAAAGTGTATCCTCTTGAGTTCAATGTCTTTCTGAACATTGAAGTTTAGAATTTTGTTATTCACTGCTCTTACAGGTAACTTTGCACCTAGTCTTGGGTGTACATTTTATTATGAACTTAAATTTCTTATAAAGCAATTGGTAGGCTCACAAGGATTAGACTACAACCTAGTCTACATACATGCATATCTATGTATATGAAATTTTATTTATTTTTTATTAACATATATTCATTATACATATTAAACAGGTTCAGTTTGATATGGCAACATGTGTTGCATACAGTGTACACGGACCAAATCAGGGTAATTAACATTTTCTTCTCCTTATCATTTATGTTTGGAATTTTTGAACTCTTCTCATTTAGAGCTCCATAAAACACAGAGCTATAGTTATCTCACTACTCTGTGAAACACCAGAATTCCTTCCTTCCATCTAATTGGCTTTTGGTTCCCATTATGCAACCTCCCACCTCCCCAGCCTGTAGTGATCACTATTCTACATTTAGGTTGACCGTTTTTAGTTTCCACATATGAGAGAACACATAGTATTTGTCTTTCTGGGTCTGCCTTATTTCACATAACATAATGTCATCCATCCGTTTTGCTTCAAATGACAAGATTTCATTCTGTGTGGCTAAGTAACATTCCATGTATACACGTATCAGTTTTCTGTATCCATTCATCTGTGGATGAGCATCTAGGTCGATTCTGTGTCTTAGCTATTGTGAATAGTGTGTGATAAACATGGAGGTGCAGGTGTGTCTTTGACCTTTTGAGTTAATTTCCTTTGGATATATACCCAGAAGTGGGCGAGGTGGATCATATGGTAGGATCACTTGTTTATTGCTGTTAAGTGTTTTTGAGCTCCTTACGTATTTTGGGTATTAGTCTTTTGTCAGCTGAATAGGTGGCAGACATTTTCTCCCACTCTGTAGGTTGTCTGTTTGCTAATGATTTCCTTCACTGTGCACAAGCTTTTTAGTTTGATATAATCCCAGTTTTGCTTTTGTTTCCTGTACTTTTGGGGTTACATAAAGCCATTGTCTAAGCTGCTTTCTTGACATGTTTCCTCTGACTACTTTCATAGTTTCAGGTGTTGCACTTAGGTCTTTGGTCCATTTTGAATTGATTTTTGTCAGAATGAGATATAAGGGGTCAAGTTTTAATCTTTGGCATGTGGATATCCATTTTCTCAGTATCATTTTATCAAGAGGCTGTGCTTTCTCCAGTGCATGTTTTGGTGCCTTTGTTGAGAATCAGTTGACTACAGTTTTTTTTTAAAATTAGACTATGTGTCTATTTTTATGCAAGTTTCATGCTGTCTTGGTTACTATGACTTTGTAGTACCCCTTGAATTCGGGTATTGTGATGCCTCTGGCTTTGCTCTTTAGGTTCAAAGGTTACTTTGGCTCTTTGGAGTCTTGGTATTTTTGTATGATTTTAGGATTTTTAAGAATTTCTGTGAAGAACATCCTTGGTGTTTTGATGGGAACTGTACTGCATCTCTAAGTTGCTTTAGATAGTAGGGATATTTTAACAAAGTTAATTCTTCCAATCTCTGAACTTGGGAAGTCTTTCCATTTTTTTTTTTTTGCATCTTCTTCAATTTTTCTCATCAGTGTTTTGATTTTCATTTAGAGAGCTTTCACTTCCTTGGTTAAATTTATTCCTAGGTATTTATTTTTTTGTAGCTGCTATGAATGTGAGTGCTTTCCTGATGTCTTTTTCAGCGAGTTCAGTGCTACTGTTAGGCCAGGCTTGGTGGTGCACACCTGTAAGCACAGCACTCAGGAGCAGAGGCAGGAATATGAGTTTGAGGCCAGCCTGGGCTACATAGTGAGCTCCAGGTCAGCCCGAGCTACGTAATGAGACTGTTTCTCAAACCCTCCCCACTTCAAATAATGATTTTTGCTTGTTGATTTCCTATCCTGAGAGTTCATTGAATTAGTTTATCAATTCTAGTAGTCGTTTAGTCAGAATTTCCCTTTTTCTTTTTAAGTAAACTGTATCCAGCCAAATGCAAGTTGTGGATTGACTCGGTCAATTCATTTCTCAATTAAGAAAAAAAGATTTAATTACTTTATTGTCACAGTCAATGAGCAAATTGGATCTTTCATTTTTCAAATGTTTATGCTGCATTTTCTAGACACAGATAAGAATAATTTTATTTTGTTCTGAAATTAAGAGATTTGAGATATTAAGTCCTATTTTTTTAAAAAAATGACATGCTAAATAATGACAACATGTAGTACTGTCATATGTTAGTAAGTATTTAAATATCTTCTTTTTCAATCAGAATGAAATGGAATGCATCTCATGAAGGATAGAATTATATTCCACTCTAGTTTACCAAAGGACTCTTTGGAGAATTCAAGTATTATTAAAACTGATTGCCTGGTACATTTTGGTATCATTTCTAAAACTGAAGAGATACCAGGAAATTTATAAACTGTTGAATAGCACTGGATTTAATTCTTTTCTATTCTATGCAGAGAAACACCAAGTTGATTATGCCAATTTGTGAATGGTATGATAATTAAGTCTGAGAACGATTTTCATTTTATATATTCGCTGTGTTTTAAACAATACTGTGAAAATTGTCAATATTGCTAAGGAGTTCTGTGTGAAGATGAGTTGAGTGTAAACTTAAATGTAGATAAAAGGTGAAATGGAATATCAAAACGAAAGCGTACATGGGTACACTTATGTAACCTTTATCTCTAAAATTTAAATAATCTTCATTTACTTTTCACATTACTCTTACAATGTTAAAATAAGTATAGGTTTTATCTGAAGCATTGTTAAATACACATATCTACATGGATACAGATGTGCAGATCCACACATATATGGATACATAATTTTTTAACTTGAGAAATACTGAATCACACACATAGAGAACAGAATAAAAACTACCCACACAATAAACATACCCGAAGTTTAAAAAATGAACAGCCTTTCATAATTTACACATCATAAATGCACTCATTTTAAGTGTACAATTTCTATATTGTAAAATTCATTCTTTCAAAGTATACAAACCAGTACCTTTTAGTAAACTTACAGTTGTGCAGCTGTCACCACAGTCCAGTTTTAGAACTTTTCTATTTTCTATACTTACAGGTTTTCTTTTTCTGGATATTTCTTATAAGTGGAATTATATAATATATGATTTTTTTGTCTGGCTTCTTTCATCTAGAACAATTTTTTTCTGTACTGGGGTAGCACAGTGTTTTTGATTTTATTCATGTTAGTGCCTAATTACTTCCTATTTCCCAGTCGGAAATACATCATAAATATACAGAGTACCACTTTGTTTATCCCTTTCAATGACCCAGTAGAGGACAGAGGGATAAGGATGGAAAATTATTTAGATATTTTTTCATTATTTACTATTTTATATGGTTTTTGTTTTTGAGATTTAGGGTTGTGACTCATTGTAAAAGCAAAGTAAGAAATGTACACAGAGGAAAGCCCCCCACTGAATCAAATTCTACCTTTCTGTAGGAAATCACCATCAACTTACTTTGGAATCTTTCTAGACTATTTATACACACATGCACACATAAATGCAGTACATTAACTATATGAACACCCACACATGAATGTATGTCATATAGTTTGTGTTTCAACAAGAGTGGAATCATGGAGTTTAATATTTTAACACATGCTTGCCAAGATAAGAAAAACAACCTGACTGCCCTTGTTGGATTGTGGCGAATCTGGATGCTAGTAATGGCTAATTGGTTAATCTACTCATAATGGAGAAAAGTTGAATTCTGTGGGCTCCATTTATTAATTATTATGTGCAAACAAATTTTAATTTTTTAAAGCCCTCCTATTTTCTTGCAGGATACTTAGGCTCTGCCTGTGAAGAAAAGGTGGACCCCTGTGCCTCATCACCATGCCAGAACAATGGCACCTGCTATGTGGATGGGGTGCACTTTACCTGCAGCTGCAGCCCGGGCTTCAGGGGACCAACCTGCGCCCAGCTGGTTGACTTCTGTGCCCTCAGCCCATGTGCTCATGGCACGTGCCGCAGCGTGGGAACCAGCTACAAATGCCTCTGCGATCCAGGTTGGTACCATCTGCAGACTGCTGATCTTTCCTTTCTCATCTCAGAAGACTGTTCATTTTTATTTTGCATCTGAGCAAATGTCAGTCCACAGGGTGAGATGTACTTGTACAGGAACAAATTTTGCTGACTTATGACACACTTTATCTTTAGAATTGCTCTTGGCAGGGCTTCAAAAACACCCTTTCCTCTTCACACGAGCAATTCACATTCATTGTGGAAAAATCAGCAAACACAAAAAAGCTAAATGGAGAATGTTAAAACAGGCCAAATCTTGTGACCCAGTAACTATTTTTTAACGGTTTACTAGAGGTCATCCCAGAACTCTAACTGCATGATATACCTTTTCCTATTGTGTCTGGAGTTAACAGAACAGGTTTTTCCACTTTAATATGCATGGAAGGCAGCATACACTCCACTCAGAATTTTGCCATCCACTGGAATGACACTCTCACTGTGCGTAATATGCTTCACCTCTGACTTCCCATGTAAACATTCAAAAGCATCATCATTTATTGGCCAAGTGTCTCTTGCATCTGTAATACTGTTTTTTAACTGTGTAAGTTTGGTATACCTAGAAGTCAGAATGATTATTGGCCCCAGTTTGGGTCTTGCTGGCCTACTCATGTGATATGAGAAGAATGTACTCGTAACCCTTTCTTTTTTTGTCCTTTCTATTCTTCCCACATCTCGTTCATCGCATGAGCTAGGTCTTTTTTTTTTTAATTTTTATTTTATTCATATGTGTATACAATGTTTGGGTCATTTCTCTCCCCTTCACCCCCCTCTCCCTTCCCCCCTACCCCCCTTACCCCTGGCTACCCGGCAGAAACTATTTTGCCCTTATTTCTAATTTTGTTGTAGAGAGAGTATAAGCAATAATAGGAAGGACGAAGGGTTTTTGCTAGTTGAGATAAGGATAGCTATACAGGGAGTTGACTCACATTGATTTCCTGTGCGTGTGTGCTACCTTCTAGGTTAATTCTTTTGATCTAACTTTTCTCTAGTTCCTGGTCCCTTCTCCTATTGGCCTCAGTTGCTTTAAGGTATCTGCTTTAGTTTCTCTGCGTTGAGGGCAACAAATGCTAGCTAATTTTTTAGTGTCTTACCTATCCTCACCCCTCCCTTGTGTGCTCTCGCTTTTATCATGTGCTCAAAGTCCAATCCCCTTGTTGTGTTTGCCCTTGATCTAATGTCCACATATGAGGGAGAACATACGATTTTTGGTCTTTTGGGCCAGGCTAACCTCACTCAGAATGATGTTCTCCAATTCCATCCATTTACCAGCGAATGATAACATTTTGTTCTTCTTCATGGCTGCATAAAATTCCATTGTGTATAGATACCACATTTTCTTAATCCATTCGTCAGTGGTGGGGCATCTTGGCTGTTTCCATAACTTGGCTATTGTGAATAGTGCCGCAATAAACATGGGTGTGCAGGTGCCTCTGGAGTAACCTGTGTCACAGTCTTGGGTATATCCCCAAGAGTGGTATTGCTGGATCAAATGGTAGATCAATGTCTAGCTTTTTAAGTAGCCTCCAAATTTTTTTCCAGAGTGGTTGTACTAGTTTACATTCCCACCAACAGTGTAAGAGGGTTCCTTTTTCCCCGCATCCTCGCCAACACCTGTTGTTGGTGGTGTTGCTAATGATGGCTATTCTAACAGGGGTGAGGTGGAATCTTAGTGTGGTTTTAATTTGCATTTCCTTTATTGCTAGAGATGGTGAGCATTTTTTCATGTTTTTTGGCCATTTGAATTTCTTCTTTTGAGAAAGTTCTGTTTAGTTCACTTGCCCATTTCTTTATTGGTTCATTAGTTTTGGGAGAATTTAGTTTTTTAAGTTCCCTATATATTCTGGTTATCAGTCCTTTGTCTGATGTGTAGCTGGCAAATATTTTCTCCCACTCTGTGGGTGTTCTCTTCAGTTGAGAGACCATTTCTTTTGATGAACAGAAGCTTTTTAGTTTTATGAGTCCCATTTATCTATGCTATCTCTTAGTTGCTGTGCTGCTGGGGTTCCATTGAGAAAGTTCTTACCTATACCTACTAACTCCAGAGTATTTCCTACTCTTTCCTGTATCAACTTTAGAGTTTGTGGTCTGATATTAAGATCCTTGATCCATTTTGAGTTAATATTGGTATAGGGTGATATACATGGATCTAGTTTCAGTTTTTTGCAGACTGCTAACCAGTTTTCCCAGCAGTTTTTGTTGAAGAGGCTGCTATTTCTCCATCGTATATTTTTAGCCTTTGTCAAAGACAAGTTGGTTATAGTTGTGTGGCTTCATATCTGGGTCCTCTATTCTGTTCCACTGGTCTTCATGTCTGTTTTTGTGCCAGTACCATGCTGTTTTTATTGTTATTGCTTTGTAATATAGTTTGAAGTCAGGTATTGTGATACCTCCTGCATTGTTCTTTTGACTGAGTATTGCCTTGGCTATTCGTGGCCTCTTGTGTTTCCATATAAATTTCACAGTAGATTTTTCAATCTCTTTAATGAATGTCATTGGAATTTTGATGGGAATTGCATTAAACATGTAGATTACTTTTGGGAGTATCGACATTTTTACTATGTTGATTCTACCAATCCAGCATGGGAGATCTCTCCACTTTCTATAGTCTTCCTCAATCTCTTTCTTCAGAAGTGTATAGTTTTCCTTGTAGAGGTCTTTCACTTTTTGTTAGGTTTACACCTAGGTATTTGATTTTTTTTTGAGGCTATTGTAAATGGAATTGTTTTCATACATTCTTTTTCAGTTTGCTCATTGTTAGTGTATAGAAATGCTAATGATTTTTCTATGTTGATTTTATCCTGCTACCTTGCTATAGCTATTGATGGTGTCTAGAAGCTTCTGAGTAGAGTTTTTTGGGTCTTTAAGGTATAGGATCATGTCATCTGCAAATAGGGATATTTTGACAGTTTCTTTACCTATTTGTATTCCTTTTATTCCTTCTTCTTGCCTAATTGCTCTGGCTAGGAATTCCAGTACTATGTTGAATAGGAGTGGAATAGTGGGCATCCTTGTCTGGTTCCTGATTTTAGAGGAATGTTTCAGTTTTTCTCTGTAAGTATAATGCTGGCTGTAGGTTTGTCATATATAGCTTTTATAATGTTTTTCCTTCTATTTAGTTTTCTTAGAGCTTTTATCATGAAATGGTGTTGGATCTTATCAAAGGCTTTTCTGCATCTATTGAGATGATCAAGTGGTTTTTGTCTTTGCTTCTGTTAATGTGGTTTATTGTTTATTGATTTTCGTATGTTGAACCCCTGCATTCCTGGGATGAAGCCTACTTGGTCGTGGTGAATAATCTTTTTGATGTGTTGTTGAATTCGGTTTGCCATTATTTTGTTGAGGATTTTTGCATCAATGTTCATTAAGGAGATTGGCCTATAGTTCTCCTTTTTGGAGGTGTCTTTGCCTGGTTTTGGGATAAGTGTAATACTGGCTTCATAAAATGTTTTGGCAGTTTTCCTTCCCTTTCTATTTCATGGAACAGTTTAAGGAGGGTTGGTATCAGTTCTTCTTTAAAGGTCTGATAGAATTCAGCAGAGAATCCATCAGGTCCTGGACTTTTCTTTTTGGGGAGACTCTTGATTGCTGCTTCAATTTCATTTTGTGTTATAGATCTATTCAGGTGATTAATTTCCTCTTGGTTCAGTTTTGGATGATCATATGTATCTAGAAATCTGTCCATTTCTTTAGATTTTCAAATTTATTTGAATATAGGTTCTCAAAGTAGTCTCTGATGATTTCCTGGACTTCCATGGTGTTTGTTGTTATCTCCCCTTTTGCATTCCTGATTCTACTATTTGGGTTTTTTCTCTCCTCATTTTAGTCAGGTTTGCCAGGGTCTATCGATCTTGTTTATTTTTTCAAAGAACCAACTTTTTGTTTCATTAATTCTTTGTATGTTTTTTGGTTTCTATTTCATTGATTTCAGCTCTATTTTTATTATTTCTCCCTTCTATTTGTTTTGGATTTGCTTGTTCTTGTTTTTCTAGGAGTTTGAGATGTATCATTAGGTCATTGATTTGGGATCTTTCAGTCTTTTATATATGCACTCATGGCTATAAACTTTCCTCTCAGGACTGCCTTAGCTGTGTCCCATAGTTCCAGTAGGTTGTGTTTTCATTTTCATTGACTTCCAGGAACTTTTTTAATTTCCTCTTTATTTCATCGATGATCCATTGTTGTTAAGTAATGAGTTATTTAGTTTCCAGCTGTTTGCATGTTTTGTTGTCTTTACTTTTGTTGTTGAGTTCTAGGTTTTGCATTGTGATCAGATGAGTATGCACAGTATAATTTCTATTTTCATCTTTGTGAGGCTAGCCTTTGTGCCCTAGGATTGATCTTTTTGGGAGAAGGTTCCGGGCTGCTGAGAAGAATGTATATTGTGTAGAAGTTGGATGAAATGTTCTGTAGACATCTACTAGGTCCATTGCTATTGTATATTTTAGATCTTGGATTTCTTTATTGATTTTTGTTTGGATGACTATCTATTGATGATAATGGGGTGTTAAAGTTTCCCCACAAACTGTTGGGTTGGAGTATATATGCTTTTAGGTCTTCAGGGTATGTTTGATGAAATTGGGTCGTTACATTGGGTGCTCAGATTGATGATTATGATTTCTTTTGGATCTATTTCCTTTATTAGTATGAATGTCCTTTCTTTTATCTCGTTTTGTCAATGTTAGGTTGAAGTCTACTTTGTCAGAGATAAATTGCCTCTTTTGGGGGCCATTGGCTTTGTAAATCCTTCCATGCTTCAATCTTGCTATGCTTATTTCTGTGGTGAGATGAGTCTCCGTAAGAACAAATTGTTGATCTTCTTTTTAATTCATTTCGTCAAGCGGTGCCTTTGGGATGGGGTGAATTAAGTCCATTGACATTAAAGATGTTAAGTACTGGGATAGGTGTGTGTGATCTGTCATTTAGTTTTGATGGGTGAATTAGTCCGTTGACATTAAGTGTTAGTACTGATAGGTGTGTGGTGATT